TGTTTGAGTACTATTAGGTACCGGATATCTTAGTGTCGTTTTTTCACCGCGAGTTTCGGACCACCAATATTTTAATTCAGAATCCGGGGAGTGAAACGGCATATCCATCGAATGACTCATTAGCCCTTTCCCATTTACCAGTATGAGTGAAAACCTCGTACGATTAAAGCTAGGAATTTTTTGAGTCGAAAAAGAGAGGTAGGTCGAATTTGACATCATCTGACAAATCATCCCTCTCACCTTGCTAAACAGTTGGGCCTGGACAAAGAAGTATGACCCAATTAGTGTAGAGCACGGTGATGCAATGTATGGTGGAAAAGTTCAACCAGCTCAACTTGGAGCCATTTTCCGAAGGCTTTCCATCGGTGCAAAAACGCCATCCTTTTTTGGAGCGCCGCGTGAGTAGCAGATGAGCATATTTATTAGAATTTCTAGTACAATCAAACTTCGTTAAAGCGTTTGTGCATCATCGATCAGTCACTGCTAAGGTGTCCTACCATTTCAGCACAAGACTGGTGCAGCCCCGTCTCGACTGATTTAACTAGGGCCACCTTTTTGACGACGATTGCGGGCATCACTTCAAAGACTTCACTGTCTTTTGAGAAAACTGTGAAAACCGATGAGCATTTCAAATGGTAGTATTCCCTCCAACAAATGCAATGTTGGTTGGTGGGCGGAAGTTGTAGCTCTCAGCAAGAATTTTGAAGCATTTGGTACAGCACACGCGAATTTGCACACTGGACCCAGGATTTTCAAAAAAAAGTATAAAAATTGGGGGAAAGTTAAATTGTGAACCAACAATAGAAAACAATAAGCAACATATTTCGCAGTATTAATGAGCAAAAAGGACTTTCTGAGATATTGATTTTCCATAGTAATCGGCCCCAAAACTTCCTGAACTCAGAAAAGCGACACTAAGATATCCGGTACCTAATAATAAGCAGCGAGGAAAACCGCATCTCATAAGGTCTCCCATCAACTATCACATCACACAGCGACTAGTTTGTCTTAAAGACACATTGGAAAGGAGACGTCCTCAGACTTCTCCTCCTGAGATCAAGTCACCAGAGCTGCACGATTATCAAAGTCTAAGGCTGAGCTTCGGTTAAGGCTTAGGGTTGAGCTTATGCTTCACATTGATTCGTGCTGAAGCTTATGATTGGGCCTAAGCTTAGTTCTAAGCCTTGCTTCAGGCAATGAAAGGTGGCTCAAGTGTTGGTTGACCTGACCCTGAGGAGGAAAACTGCAACGCACCCATTTCCCGATCACTGAAGGTACGATATTAGTTAAAGGCATGCCCCAGGATCGCACTGGTGTGGCTCTTGCACACGAATGTGAATGTATCGGTGCCAAGTGGGCCGGCAGTGAAGAAAAAAGGAAAAGAATCCGTCGAAAACGCTCAGGTTGAGGGCTCACTCACCTTCCTAATTGGCTGTGCTAAAGGAACGAGAGACTAAGCGCGAAGAGGAGAGTATGGGGCGAGAGAGCGCATCAGATGAGAGAGCACCAGACAACGGCCTGATAAGAGAGCTCGTTCGCTGCAGCTCGAGCAGCTTACTTTGCAAGCCCAAAGCGTTCTTGTCGGTCGAATTCCGTGCACGTGAACGCCACATTTGTGATTGTCCCCTAGGGTTCTATACTTCTGACCGAAGAGAAGAGTCCACGATAATTATCTAACCAGGAGAAGGCCGGATACTCTAAAGGTCAATAACTCGGAACATTAGCTACAGCTTACAGACAGAGGAAAAGATTAGGTGATACAGAAGATATGCTAGAAACTGGGAGGTTTTTGAAAATAATTTAAAAAAACAGCAAAAAAATACAGCAGTATCTCAACGGGAAGTCTATCATTCGAGATTTCGACAGCGATGCTGAGGGGGTGGAGCAAAAACTAGTTCCAACAAAGTGAGCATTGAACCACGCTCACTTAGAGTTTTTGCAATTAATCTTTTCAAGTTTTACGATTTTTGAAAAGAACAAGTAGTTCCAGTGAATGAATCCTTCCGTTACAACATCTTTAACGAGATCTTAAGATATAACCAGAATTGACCCGACCTTGCTGCAAAAGGTACACCGCTCCTTCTTCACGTTCACTTGACGTCGAGCGGCCGGTTCAGCGAGTTCACCATCATCGACGACGATTAACTAAGAATAATCACGATAGGAAACAGTCACATTTAAACTTTAAAAGATCAAACGAAATTGAATCCGCAGACAGGCAGAGCTTTCCACCTGTTCGCTCTCGTCTTCGGTGCGAGGATTCTTTTTAGGTGGAGCCGAATCCTCCGGAGATTGTCGTCTTCGAACAGCTGATGCTGGCCGAGCCGGATTCGGTGTGAACGCAGACGGCTCATCACTGCAAACAGCTAGATGAGTTCCAAGGCCACTGAAGAACGAGATTTAATGTGGTTGTCTGAATAAATTTGCAAAAATATCAGGAAAAGGGGTGTCTATGGGAAGTAAACTGTGGAAATGTACGAGTCGAGATTCTCGCACAAGGAGAGACCAGTCTGTGACTTCCAGAGAGATGTGTCTATTTTACTGCCAGTTCATAGGTGAATAAAGTGATCATCGGAGCAGGAATAGAAACGAATACAAATGCTTTTATATCTTCTTAATTGAGAAGTTTTCCTAGAACACTGTCTCAGAATATAAAAAAAAACGTCGATGAAAGCAACATTAGGACGAATTCACGCTGGAAGGCAACCCATTTCAAATTAACTCAGGGATGGTGATTGGTACACGAAAGAAGGAAGAACCATGAGAAACGGCCCAGAACCCGAGAAATGGGACCCCTTCCTTCCCCGCTGATTTGCGCATTGATGCGACTCTTATCGCTGTGCCCTCCTCAACATCACGCTCTCTCTGCTATCTAATCAATCCCACGTATCTGCGGCGAGTGATCAGCTGGTCGGTGGGCGGAGATCGCCAGACCCGCCAACTTTGAGGCATAATAGGTCGCCGAGGTCAAATTTTTCGATGCGAATTGCGCATCAGTTCGCACCCTCAGGAGGTCCGTGGGTTACTCAACTAGGTGAATTACTTCTTCCTCGACCTCCATTCTAATCGTGAAATCCTCCTTTAAATACTAGGTGCACCGAAATCAACATAAACTTCTCGTTACATTATACGAAGTTATAAGATTAGTTTCATGGAAGATTGCGTTAGGCTACACGCAAGGTTGCGAAATCTGATCCTGAATCCGGTATCAAGGCGATCACCCCTGAATATCCCATCCCAATAATGAGAATTGTTATGCCAACGAAGGATCCAAACTTGAGTTAGCCATCTATAAAACGGCGGTATCGCAAGATACGTGGCATTCGCGAGCGGACTAGTGAGTGGGGCGTAAGGGGGCAAGAGGCCGATGGAAATTGAAATGGCTCACGCCGTACGGATTCTCCTCCCAGTTATGTAGTTATGCCCGTTTTGACGAAAAGAACATGTTTTTTACGCGGCTCGCCAACAATGCCCCCATAGTCTTGCGTTAAGGCCCATAAGAACAAATTGTGACTACTTATCCTGCGTCGCACTCCGCCTGAGAGACCATTCTTTCAGTGAAATCGGCAAACTGCCAAGGTTTGAACGAGGTCGAATTTCTATGAAACCAAATAAGTGACCATCTACGTAGGATGCGGATGTTTCGAGGTTTCTCATTTCAATGTGTACCTTTCATTTACCACAGGAGACCAAGGATGAGCCCTCAGGGCGAAAAAAGTTTCTCTGAGTAGCTTTATTTATCTGCGGAGGGTTCACATACAACAGAGAAAAGCACTAGCGGGCACTAGGTGAAGTGAAAAGGGATGAGGTGCTTGAAAAGGAAATAATCGCGGAAATTTCTGGGACACAAAAAGATTGAGCTGAATTTAAGCTTAACTTAAGAGATCAGGTAGAGAATAGGTACTATCAGTCTCAGAGATACAGTACTTTGGAAGAAATGCGACCATATGACGCAAGCCTGCTTCTTCATTTGCAGCTTCCTTAGAGTCGTTCAACGACGAATAGGTTGCCTGACCAGGTATGTCCAAACTTCTCAGATCTAATCTGATCCCCTTTGAGCGCCGGATTTGAGCGCAGGTTATTTCTCCTCGCATACAGATAAATTTTCGCAAACTCTTCACGTATTCTGTCAGAGCAGCGAAGTCAGTCCTGGTGATTGCGTAGGTACAGCCACCAAGCGAGCAGTGCTGCTGTGGCGGTGTTGTTCAACTGCGACAGATTGGGATACTGCGACATTTGCGTGTAGTAGTCCTGCATTGCCGACAACACCGCTGGCTGCATCCACATGCTCTGCAAAGAACCAGCATTACCCTGGTTAACTATAAAACTCATATGTCATTCTTCAGAAATGTTGCTGCTTCATTTTCGTAACTGGATTACTACACTGGTGTGCAACTTTAAAGGCAAAGTTCGGGCTCAGACCCACTTAATGAGCCTTTACGGTGGCTAGAAGCGCTAGGCACGCAAGTGTATGGGTCGCGTCACTTCCCTACTTCGAAAACCGTTATTTAGACGCTAGGCTCTAAGAACTTTGACACGCTCCACCTGCTGCGACACGCTCCGCCCACCGCTCGATATCTTGACTGCGTCGGAATGTTGATCTGCTATGCTCTCTCTAGCGCTCTCCGCGCTCACATTATCTCTCATCTCCCTGCCGGCCTTTTGAACTTCTCCGCACCGTAGAGGAAATGGCTCGTATTTCCTAAGCATTTCACGATTTCTTTTTCTCTTTTCTGCACTGGCGGTCCACTACCTACCCCTACTTTCACATTTAAGTGGAATTAACTCATAATTCAATCCTGAATCTTGCCTTTAAGGAAACGTACTTCGTATAATGTATGCTATACGAAGTAACTTGCCGCTGGGACTAACCACACATGGAAAAAGCTGCTAACACGAAGAACAGAAAAGCAATCAAACAGAACCTTACTTCAAACGGGCCACAGAAGCTATCAGAAGTTATGTGACGTTCATCTATCTCAGTCTTGAGATTTACCACCACCCTTCTATTAGGTACCGGATATCTTAGTGTCGTTTTTTCACCACGAGTTTCGGACCACCAATATTTTAATTCAGAATCCGGGGAGTGAAACAGCATATTCATCGAATGACTCATTAGCACTTTCCCATTTACCAGTATGAGTGGAAACCTCGTACGATTAAAGCTAGGAATTTTTTGAGTCGAAAAAGAGAGGTAGGTCGGTTTTGACATCATCTGACAAATCATCCCTCTCACTTGCTAAAAAGTTAGGCCTGGACAAAGAAGAGTACACAGTTAGTTAGAGTAGGGTCTGCTGTATGGTGGAAAAGTTATAACTTACCAGCTCAACTGGACAATTTTTCCCGGAGTCTTTTTTGCCACATAGGGTCAAAAACGCACCCTTTTTGAGCACACGTGAGTAGCAGATGAGCACATTTATTAGAATTTCTTGTGTCAATCAACTTCGTTAGAGCGTCTGTGCACCATCGATCAGTAACTGCTAGGGTGTCCTCTACCATCCCCCCCTTTTCAGCAAAAAGATTAGGCCAGACGTCTCGACTGATTTAACTAGGGCCACCTTTTTGACGACGATTGCGGCATCACTTTAAAGACTTCACTGTCTTTTGAGAAAACTGTGGAAAAACCGATGAGCACGTTAAATGGTGTTATTCCCTCTAACAAATGCAATGTTGGTTTGGCGGAAGTTGTAGCTCTCAGCAAGAATTTTGAAGCATTTGGTACACACATGCGAATTTGCACACTGGACCCAGGAATTTTCAAAAAAAGTATAAAAATTGGGGGAAAGTTAAATTGTGAACCAACAATAGCAACATATTTCGCAGTATTAATGAGCAAAAAGGACTTTCTGAGATATTGATTTTCCATAGTAATCGGCCCCAAAACTTCCTGAACTCAGAAAAGCGACACTAAGATATCCGGTACCTAATAATAAGCAGCGAGGAAAACCGCATCTCATAAGGTCTCCCATCAACTATCACATCACAGCGACTAGTTTGTATTAAAGACACATTCCTCGAAGGAGACGTTCAGTTCTCCTCCTGAGTCAGGTCACCAGAGCTGCGCGATCATTGAAGCCTAAGGTTAAGCTTGGGTTTAGGCTTAGGTTTAGGCTTATGCTTACACATTGGCTTATGCTAAGCCTATGATTGGGCCTAGGCTTAGTCCTAAGCTTGCTTCGAGCAAATGAGTGGTGTCTCAATTTTAGGTGACCTGACCTGAGGAGGAAAACTGCAACGCACCCATTTCCCGATCACCGAGGTACGATCATTAGGCTTAAAAATGAAAACAAGGTGCGACTAGGACCACCAGAAAAAATGCTAGAAGCATTGAAATAATGAAATATCACTTTATTTATTTTGTTTTTTATTTATTTTATTTTTTATTCATTTTCTTTTACTTATTTGCACACAATTTGCGCACAGTCATAAAAGTGCTAACCATGAGCGTCAAGAAACACGAATAGCGCAGCGAAAAACCAGAATTTTCGGGAAGATGCACAAGACTTTTAATACAGTGACAAGAACGCTAGAGGTCAAAAAGACAGAAGTGTCGTGAGAGCATATGGAACAAGCGAGACGCAGACACACTCCTATAAATGTAGTGTAGTAGGCAGCAACTCAGATTGAATCAGGATATAGTGAAAAGGCTCTAGCGCTCATGTATCGCGTTTATTCGGCAGAGCTGTCCTTGTGTCCTGCACAGTTAAGTACTGATTGAATTAGATACACCTGGAATGCTCCTTCGGAACAAATTCACTGCCAAGCTCTACACTCACGACTTTCTTGAAAAACTGAAACCACCACCATGGATTTGAAGGACCGTTTCGAACCGCGGATGAGAGTGAAACAGTAAAAGGCACAAAAGTCGTTGCCAGTCGCTTAGCCTATCAAATCAGGGATAAATAAAACGCCAGTCAACAGGCGCCTCTACACCAGGTGCCCCATCTCAGCTCATATACTAACCGGTCACATGGGTACGCGTGAGCAACACGTTCAGATGGCACTAGTTTT